AGAGAGAGAGAGAGAGAGAGAGAGAGAGAGAGAGAGAGAGAGAGAGACAGACAAACAGACATAATATACTAAAAAATATGTTATCAAAGGATGAGGGGTATGTTCATTTAATCAAAACGTTTGCAACGCCCAGAAGAAAACTTCAGTGACCTCACAAAGTATATATATATATATATATATATATATATATATGTATTCTTGATCAGCGTCGAATTCTAAATTGGTTTAAGCATGTCTGTCGGTCCGTCTATGTAATGTCTGTTGTAAGCCTTCTCCTGGCCGCAAAAATGAAGCTGTCCCGTTCAAATTGGGCAGAAACATTAGAAGTTCATGCGCGCAAGCTACTATTGAAAGTTGACCACATCGGTCTTTATAACGCAAGCAGAAGCCAGTTTCAAAAACCCCACAAAGTATATAAGATTTTCGCTAGTTTCATATTCAAGCATGTCCGCTCGATCATCTGCCCAGTTATCCGTCTGTACAACTGTGCGGTAGTTGTGGTAAACGATCTCCCGTTCCCAAACATAAATACATTATGCACAAACTTGCGAAAGAAATTGAAAATGAATCAAACTTTTTAAAGAAGATGCATAAAACGTCTCTATAACAACCGTTATGAACACCTTTGCTCTCTGTATATTTTGCTTGAAAAAATCAGCCGCGCCCATCCAATATTGTAAAGGATGAATAAATTAGTTGTTTTCTTCTTTTTTTTTTTTAGGAAGAGGGGGTGATGGGTATAAAAGATTCGTGATGAATATATATAATCGAATATAATTTCCTTGATTGTTTTGTAAAAATCCTTAAAAATATTCAGCGTCTTAACGTCATTATTTGACAACGAGCTTCTTACCATCAGTTGAGGTTTAGCATATATTTTCGCAAAGGTGGCCAGATTTGTGAAAAGTATTATAACAATAAAAAGTCTGTCAAGCAATGCGCTACTTTCATAAAACAATGAGAAAATCCTTTTTTTCGCTCAGTTAAGTTTTTGATCGGATTTTTTTATTCACAATCACTCTCAAATATCTTCTTAGCGATTTGAAAGTAAACAATTAACAAGTTATATTTTGTGTCAGATTTCATCAAATTATTTCTGTATGAGCACGTTGAACATAAAAAAAAACAAGATTGGCAGACGGACAGACGGATGGGCAGACAGGCAAGCTTATATCATTTCAAAAAACGATTCTGTATTGATCGTTATAATAAAAATTGAGTCCATTTTGAGTTCTCTTGGTTGTTGCATAAGTCCCTATACCCTTGTACCACAACTAGGGTATGGTATACAAATGAGACCTATAGTAATAATGATCAAATTCATATAAGAATTATGGGACATGTCATGCGACTTTCCCCATTCAACTCAGAAATAGGTCCAGGTCAGTCTGTCACCTTGGAAATTATTATCTTAATCTAACTTTACCTAATTAGAAGAAAAATTTAAAGTTTTTTTAAAAGCTTTTCATTCATTCCGTGCTTAAAGCTTAACGACAGATTGGATATCTAAGTGCGTAGGAATAGTTACTTCTTGTAGGAATAGGAAAAAAGTAAATAGATACCGTGAACACTGCTAACCTAAGGAAAAGGTTTTGCGACCTTCCTTACTTTAGTTAAAGTGAATTTTGTGAAAATTGCAGAGACCCGGTGCAGCTTCTTTTTAATATTACAATCACTTTTGTAGATTTGCTTTACAAACGCTTTCGAACACGCTATCGAAGAATCACTAATACGGATTTCTTTAAAGTTGATCGTGGACAATTGTCCATGGTAAGATTTAAGACTGTGCCCGGTATCGCGTGTAATAGATATTGCGATACATATTGGCCTCAACAAGCAAAATATCTCTAGGTTCAAGATCAATAGCATAGTGCAACGCAGTCATGATGAACATATCAAAGGGTTTCGTGCGGTCAAAGCGATACTGCTTTGCAATAAATTGCACTACAGCCTCAAGATTAGGCAACGTCTTTTTTCTTCTTGTGAATTTAGGTACAAGCACAACCACACTAGAGTTTGTCGAGTATGCAAATAAAGCAACTGTGGCATCAAAATATCTTTACTAAGACATTAAGCATCGACACAATAGACATCTTGCTGTCATACTCTTTATAAAAGAAAATTTCGAACATATTCCAAATCAATCGGTATGTCTCCGCAACGTTCTTAATACAATAGCAATTTCAAGAAGTTGGTTGACGAACAAAAATTCTGATAATTTACTTCAATCAAACTCATACTAAATACAAAATAAAAGGCTTCTTTTTTTTATCATCCAACTCGAAAAAAAAAAAAAAAAAAAAAAATAGTAATATTACCGTTTTTAAATCTTCCCATTCGTTGAACAATGCATAGACAACATATCAGAACGGAAGGATGTTCCATTCGATCACACCTCTATTTGAGGTTTTTATAATGGAAAGAAAAAAAGAAAAACATTGAATACAATTACACACACACACACACACACACACACACACACACACACACACACTTATATCTATATACATATACACGCGCGCTATTACGCACACAATAAACATCAACCCTAATTTATTGCCATATAAAAAGTGATTTCCTTTCACGCTTAAGGTCATCGGTGTGAGCTTAAAGGCTGAACAATATATTGCAACGATGTAGATTTTTATTGAGAAAAATCACCGCCTGCTGAGTTATTCCGTAAAGTCGGTATTTTATGAATGAAAGCTGTAATATAACCGACTAACCAGGTAGACGTTCGTAATTGGTTTGTTGTGAGTTTCTCTCTTCGCTCTTCACTCTTTACTTAACGCTCTTTGTCTAACTCATTTTATCTCATTAGGATTAATTGACATTTGATTTCACTTAATACCTTTAAGATTGATAGTCTGCCGCTGAGATGCCGAAGTGTATAGTATAGTAAGAGCAAGGAAATAACAAAAACACCCTAAACCTACCGGGTGTTGCCACAGTTAATAATGTTTATTATTATTATTATTATTGTATTGTATATTGTATATGCTATTGGCACATACACGCATAAACAGCCCTGGATATTGTAAATATACATGAGTTTGTAGATTTTTATTTTGATTCTGCATCCAAGGGATGTTTGTTTAAATTCTATTTGTGCTTATATGCATCAGTCATCCGATCCTATTGAAAATGTTGAAATGTCCGTACATATTTTCCATATATAACCTCGTTGGGCTTGTCATTTGTTTGAAGTTAAAAAGTTATTTTCTGTCCGTTGTTGTTATTGTCAACGTTGCTGTTGTTGTTGTTGTTGTCAACGTTGTTGTTGCTGTTGCTGCTATTGTTTTTTCCTATCGATTTATTAACCATCTCAAAACATAATTTTTTGGTATGTTTGTCATCATAACATAAAAGGCAGATGTTCTTTCTATAATACGCAAGGCAAGGTTTAACGTTTAGCATTCAACTTTTTTTTTTTTTTTTTTCTTAAATTTTTGGAGTAGTGTTGGTCGATAGTTGTGTTGAGGGCTTCGTTAATAACCAGCAACCACCTTTCTTTCAATAATAACTTGAATTAAGGATTGTTATGTTATTCTATATTTTTTTCTTTTTCTTTCTTTTTCTTTTTTATTTAACTCTCTACTAAATGTAGGCTCGTGTGAGAGTGTGTGTGTGTGTGTGTATGCGTTTAAATTTCGTTTAACAATTTTTATATATTTTTGTCAGTAATCTTGACTAATAGTCCCGTCCCGGTGCTTCACACTCAAGGATTATTTTGTTTTAAGCTAAAACAACAAATTGGCCCGACACGCACTTCCTTTTTCCCATTGCTATTGCTGTTGCTGTTGCTTTTACCGTTACCGTTCCTCTTCGCCTCTCTCATTTTTTTTACTCGATTTAATGGGAATTTTTACAGCTGTATTGTGATTAACTTGATAGATTTTCTACTGTTTTCCCTTTATTAAGTTATTAATTGCTTAAGTTTTAAAGTTGCCATAGTGAAAAGGATATTATGTTCATATATATATATATATATATATCGCCTATTAAGTTAGGTTATGTTCACAGAGCAGCAGAGCTGCATTAAGATTATGCAAATTTGGTCAATAACTTGATTTTCATTATCGACATAAATGATTAGATTAAATTAAAGATAATTTTATGCAAAGAACATTTCAATCATCCAATAATGTATACTTAGAATCACCTACAATCACCCAGGGCGCCGGAAATAATATTTTCATTAAGTTTGAAATCAACAAAAAACACTTTTAGTCAATTTTGTACTCATTTCATATGATAATAAGCAACTTAAGCAGATCTCTCTCTCTCTCTCTCTCTACTAGCCACTAAAAAGTCGTCGCCACACCTTAAGCACAATGATAATCAACATTTTAGAGGTGAATAAAGAGGCAACGGTATTTGCCTACATTTAACCATTAGATACGGCACGTTGCAGTACGTCCGGACTGGGCACTGGTGTAGGTCGTAATGTGCACGGCCATTACTAAGAAGAATTGATAAGAGGGCTCAGAGAGCAGAGTAGCCACCCTTAAGGAATTTGCTTGATTCACAGACATCTGCTACGAAAAGACATGTATATAAGCACTGTTCCGATGCATATTATGTCGATGATCATAGATGCCGAGTATGCTACATACATTTTTAGCATCCTTAATAGCCTGAGCACTTTACCGCGCACAGGCGTTAGCCCCTAAACAAGGCTTGGGAGCTCGATGTGACTAATGAAACTCTCAGACTTTGACTGTTTCTTTTCAAATTTCAAATCCACGTTCGTTTTGTATTCTTATGAAACACAATAACAACAATAGAAGTAGATTGCTACTCGCTCTGTGTATTTAATGCACTTAATGCAAAGAGTAGAAAGTTAGGCACGAATAAATATACTCGATATATCAAACCGGATCAGGAAAGGTTTGCGATTCTTGTGACAATTGACAGTCACCTGTCAGTTCAAACGAACGCCTTAATTTTCATTTTAATCTTCCCGCTGCACTAACTAACATTAAAGATCATTTGTTTCAATAGACTGCAATGTACTTCACGTAGCGTAACTTACTCCTTTTGTATTTAATATACAATTCTTTTTTTATTGCAACGAAAGTACGTTTGTTCTATGATACCTAAGATAACAGCTTTGTACATAAAGTCATGTTAGAAAAATACCATCCGTTATTATATCCACCACAGTAAGATGGCGGTATACTCGTTTTATTTTTTTCCCCCAAAAATGTAGGTAACATCCAAAAAGAAGCTTCAGAGACCCTATAAACTATACATATATTCTTGATCAGCAAGATATCCTGATTTGATTTACCCATGTCTGTCCGTTTGTATGGTTTGTGTTCTTGACACTCTCTTTATCGCATAAATGAAATATCAATTTTAAATTTGGTAGAAACATTAGAAATTTCTGCACGCAGGTTAGCCAAATTGGTTGGAGTAGAAACTCGCTGTGGAGCATAAACTGAACCCAACTTCGTTTTTCTTAATAAAAATTTGTGGATTTTTGCTGGTTAGTTGGAAATTATAAAAGTTGGAAGGCTGACACTCGCCACATTTACTTAACGAAACGCTGCACTCCTTACGCGCAAAAATGGAAAATATCCGTCATCCGTCCCACACAAAGTTGCAATTGATTAAATTTTACTTTTTTCACTTTGTTGAGGTCTTATGTCTATTTCTTGTCATAACGCAAACAAGACAGAATGTTTAAAACTATTTTGTACACTCCTTAAATGAAGATATATTATCCACCCGCCTAAAACTGGGTTCATTGTAAATTGAATATCATAGGCATTCTTAATAATAGCAACGACGAGCGCAGAACTTGAAGAGTAGAATGCGAAAAGCATAGCAATGGGTATGCGAACTTCGTCCCCCGATACGATCTTTTTAATAAAAGCGAATGAAAATATTATAATCGAATATGGCTGACCACTAAATATTCTAAATCATTTCACTTGTAGCAAATCTAACGTGTTTGTCAAAGATCTTATTACCCTGTACTTAGTTTCGTCATAAAGTAATAAAAATTAGATTTTTTTTGCGGATATACGAGATTCGGCCAACGCCAAATATAACTTTCTCACTTGTTGTCTTTCATCTTATTTTATTATTACAATTAACGCCATTCCTGGTGCTTTCTTTCATTGCCATAATATTAGTTGTACGTCATGGTATGAAGGATTATGGTATTCGTATTTCTAAACACAGTGCAAACTAAATAGCGAATGAAATGAAAATTGTTTTATTTTCTCAAATTGTATTCATATTAGGAATTCAACAATCCGCCAGTCCCGATAGTACTTCGCCGGTAAATTCTGAAGTCTCATACACATATATCGGCTCCAATTGCCAAACTTCACCGGCGCTATCAGGCGATTATAAATCGTACAGTCGTTCGGCAGATAGTGATGCTTTGTCTGTGGGTGGCGGCGATAATTCAAATGTACATACGATGCATACGCAACATGCTCAAGGTTTGTTAAATAAAGGTCATAATGATAACGGGGCTTTAAATTCCGCCAACGCCCAAGACGATAGCCTATTGGAAGACGGCATTGAAGAGGAAATCGAAGATGATAATGATCAAGATGGTTGCAATGGCAATGGTGCGGGCAGTAGTGGTGGTGTGGGGCCGGACGGTATGCCTACGAAAAAGCGCAAACGTCGCGTATTATTTACCAAAGCCCAGACCTATGAATTAGAAAGACGTTTTCGCCAGCAACGTTATCTATCCGCACCCGAGAGAGAACATTTAGCCAGTCTGATACGTTTGACACCGACCCAAGTGAAGATATGGTTTCAAAATCATCGTTATAAGACGAAGCGGGCACAAAACGAAAAGGGAGTTTACGAACAACATCCCGCTTTGCATGGTCATCCGCATCATCCATCGGCGTTACCGTCACCAAGACGTGTAGCGGTGCCGGTATTAGTGCGTAACGGTAAGCCCTGTTTAAGCGATGGCTCTAAAGTACCCCAAGATTGTGTGTCGGCTTCTATGCAAAATGCGGCAGCACACCATTTAGTTCTGGCTAATGGGGCGGCTGCCTATCAACATGCCGCAGCAGCGGCAGCAGCTGGCTTGCATGCCGCCCATCCGCATCAAAGAGCCTGGTGGCATTAGCTGTAATTAGATGCCGATGTATAACAAAAATTTCGACATCGAAGTGGAATATATTAAAGTTCGAGAGTTATAAGGCAATCTCCCGAAAAGCTTTCTACCGGTGAGGTTATTAAGTTTCAATAAGCAAAATTATTTGAATTTTAAAAAAAAAGAAAATCAATAATGTACTTAAATAATTACAAAAAATTATAAGCAATAAAAATTATTACAAAAAAAAAAAAAAAGGAAGAAGAAGAAGAATAAGAAAATCATATTACACTCGAATAATTATTGGACAATAAATCATAAAAAAGAATTCTTTTTGAATTTTTCTAAAAATTATAAAATTTTATAAAAATTCCAAAAAATTTTAACAAAATTTTAAAAATTTAATTAAATTTTAAATTTTATTTTTTTTTTTTTTTTTTTTTTTTTTTTTTTTATTAATGAAAAATTTTAAAAATCCAAAAATTTTGTAAAATAATATTTCTTTAAAAAAAAAAAAAACTCTCTTTCCTCTTCTTTACTTTTTTAAGTTTAATTTAACATATTAAGTTAGTTTGTAAAACAAAGCATTTTTTCTGTAAAATATATAAAATTTTCCTAATAGTTAATATAGTATATAAAGAAATGTTAAAATAGAAAACTTAGTAAATAAATTTCATTTGAAAGAAAATTTTGAAAAATTAAAAAAAAAAGAAGAAATTTCTCGTATTCCGATAATAAGTCGAAAGGGGCTAAAATATATGTGGTAAAGAAAAAGGTAAGATAACCAACATGCTCGTATAAAATTTTATATAATATAACAATTATTTAACTTAACAGGGGTGTCCAATATGATGCTTTCCTCTCTTGCGAACCGTAACATTCGATTCGCCTTATGATCCTGAATATTAAAAATTATTCTAATCGGTGCATCGCCCATCGTTAACTGCATATTTTTTCCATCTTCTTGATAGACTTTAGCTCCTTTCGGAGCTCCTAAAGGAGCTAAAGTCTTTCGAACCTATGCACAGATGCACGAACTTTTTGTCTCTCTTCTCATTAAATGAATGGACATATCGCTTAAGCAGTTAATAAACCACCAATTGAACGAAGCAGTAATCAGCAGGAGGACTGTCTAAGAATGGTGATCTTCTTTTCTTTTTTTTTGAAGATCTGCAAAGCGAAACCGAGGCACAATGTCGTCGATTGTTGTTAGTTTCGTTAAATTGGCGTGTGACGTACTACGCCAAGCTACCTTCGAAATGGAAGTGCTAACGGATGTTGATCTTCACCATGGTCTTTTCATCATTTGCTACGACTTAGTAACACATTACGTTGAATCTAGCGAAAAAAGTGATGCTTATCATATATGGGATAGAACTTGACTTGTTCGAAGCCATGAAGAACTATACTATCGCACACATGTAACACATTTAACCCAAGCATTAAACTATACCGTTTCCGTGAAGCTTAAAGAAATTACTTTCGCCTGGAAACACTACAGTTTACCAAATGCTCATAGATAAATTAAAACTCTCTCGCTAAAAAAAAGGGTTGACGAACTACTTTGTATTTTTGGTACGAAGTATCACATCAATAACTTCTACAGCCAGTACCTAAGAAACACGGTGAGGGAAAGACAGACAAGCAAGCGTAGAAAAAAATGGTTGAACATATCAAAATCGGCCCAGAATTACGGTCTAATCAAGACTATATTTAGAGTGTCCGTGATGCGTATTTCTATGTATAAGCGTAAAAATAGATCTAACATAGACGCGTTTGCTGTTAATAAATATATAAAGAGTAAGAGAGACAAACAAACCACAAAATTGTAATTCAAGTTCTGATTGCCCACATTTTAGAATAGTTTTCTGAAATGATTAGGCGCTTGCATGTATTTTGATCTGTCTTTCACTTGAAAAAAGCACCATTTTTCTACAACTTTCTACGCAGTGATACCATGTCGAAAGCACGATATTGCTTTGGCACGGATTCAATCATCGACCCATTTTCGCAATTTCTTCAGCATTTCAAAAACGTTTGTTAGCTAAGCGATCTGAACAAATGCTGCTCAGAAGGCGCTGTATCTGGTGTGTAAGGTGAGTGCGGCAGAAATTCTCATTCAAGCTGCAATAGCGTATCCTTGACAGTTCTTCCAACGCGTCTGTTAATCACTACGGCTAATCTTTTTCCCCTCCTTTTGCCTCTGGCAAGCTATGAAACCGCGATATTAGAACGGTTCGAAATAACATATTCAGTCAATTCGTATGATATCCATTTCTCCTCCCTTTGGAGGTTTCCAAACGTCTAAGCGTTAAGCATCTAAAAAGAGTGGATTCATCAACTGCTAAACTGTTCGTAAATTCTTTGAGAATTCAAGCTGGATTTTCGTCGAATAAGTCCTGCAATTAATTGTTTTCGAGCTTTGTTGGTCCGCCAGGCGATTCTATGCCACTGACATGGATGGAGCAGCATTACCGTAGGCTTCGAAAAGTGTTAGATAGTCTTTGACAGTAGATTTTCATCAAATCAAACAACATAAGTAAGAAATGTCGAAAACTCAGTTGTGTGGATTTCATGTTTAGCTTCTAAATAAACTGAATAACTCAATAATAGTAAATGGAAAACTGTTATTTAGTAGTGTAGAGGAAAATCAAAATTATCGTATTTACCTGTTATGTACATTAATACTTCGTTTTACATTATCATTCTCATGGATATCACTGATCAAAATACATTCAAGCACCTAGTAATTCCGCTTCGAAATTTAACTCAGCATGCACGGATTCTCTCTCCTAAAAGAGAGAGATGATCTTCCCCAAAATTTGTCAATGGAATAATAGTAGCAGCCTTAATACATGGGATCGACAGCTAGATGCAAACTAACGAATACTTCTACACCTAGTATTTGCCATGTGACCTTTTACTTGAAAGTGCATTGAATGTTTACAAATTATTTTTGTCCCAATATTAACAAAATCAAAATTGATCGCTCCTAATAAATGGATTTTTGCGGTAACTCGACTTTCTCTCTTCACTTCTCTTCTTCACTTTTCTTTTCTGGAGGAATCATCAAATAATAAGTCAGTGTAAACTGTATTTTCATGGCGCGATCGTTAATACGCAATAACAAAAATTTGATCAAGCTACCGTTTCCTATAGCGCTCGCAAGGACTTACAAGCTCGTAAACAGTGTTGCTCTTAATGCATACGAGAATTGACTTGAACAAGTGATTTACCGAAATTATGCGTCAGCGCATTACACTTATGACGATCTACCTGACGAAAGTGACAACAAGTTGACCTACATGCTATGCTCGAGTTGCTATATTCGTATATAAAAAGTCGTGTACGATCAAGCTTTACATTCCGAAATTTTTAGTCAGAACACGAACGAAACATTCTAGGTACGTATGCTGTGAGAAATGATTGGTTTCATTATGAAAATGATAAACGGATATCTATCAATGACTAAGAAGAGAGAATGACATTGTCGTAATGACCTTATCCTACTATTAAGTTCCGAACCCTGAAGAGAAGATGTGCACCAGTAGTACACCATAACTCTTTCGAGAATTTCATCGATCTTATCGCTAATAGGCCGAGTAGACAACGGGCATCGACAGCATTGAAACTTGTAGAGTTGGACCGAATACGCCAGAGTGTACTATTGATTTTGGTAAGGCGCCGCAAACTCCGCGATTTTTTTACATACCTATCAAGTGCTTTCGCCTTGAACGAACTGCTATTGTGAAGTAAGTTACATTTTTTTTTTTTTTTTTTTGAGAATCTTTGCTTATTTTCATCTTAAAAAGCTATTCATTTCGGCTTAATTAGTAATTGTCCATAATTTTTCCTCTTAATTATCTATGAACTGTTATGTCTTTGACAGACGATGCAGTACTGCTTGGTAGAATTAGTGCAGCTAAAGTTGCGCGTACTTTAGAACCATCTCGAATAACGAAATAAAAGTTTTCTATTAGTTATAAGTAAACATCAAACGTTACATGACACATAACAGTTCGCTGTATTTATACGTCCTATATAGCCCTATGTTTGAGACATGAATATTACCTCGACTTGTAAACCGTCAAGCCAACTTGAGAATTCCATACTAATCAAGAATGTAGGAGATCTCTGTTACAAAGTCGAAGACACTTAGTTGACTGAAATCGAAAAGCTATCGGAATTAGAAAAAGCAAATAGAAAAAAAGAAAAATAAGAAAATCAAAGACTTTTAACCGTCGGTTGTCTATGAAAGAATTCGAAAAAAAGAAACAGAAAAAAAAATTCTTTCTTTATTTTTCTTTTTTCTTTTTTTTTTTAGATTTTTTTTTTTGTCACCAATTAAATCAAAGCTATATCATCCATTGCCTATAAGTGGTTAGCACTTGAAAATTATTATGATACCATATAGATACATATGTCTGTATAAGTGTCTGCTCTTTTATATGACATAGTATAATACAATAAAATATTACGGTGTACACTTGTTATTGAAGTATCGTCATAAATAGCGCGACAAGTGTTAAACCAATAGAAAACAACATAAAAATCAATACAATTAATCATTAACACTTAACAGATATTCAGACATGTATTTAGATATGTATTTTACGCATAAACATCTATACACACTTGCGTTCATATGTATTGTGTAAGTGCAAAATGTGTGCTTAAGAATTCATCAGAATTACGATGAAAAAAAAAAAAAAAAACTCGATTACAATAGATAGTAAATAAGGATTTAGATTTGTGAAGATGAATAAATGAATATATAAAACGCTATATATATATATATATCGCTCAACTTTATAATTCGCTTAAGTAAAGAATAAAATCAATATTAAATTGATTAAAAAATAAATTCTAATAATAACAACATATGAACAGAGCAACCATTAAGTTCTTATCATTTATCATCGTATCAGTAAGGGAAGCGAGTAATTGCTCAATGGGTTGATTCTTAAAAATCAATTTGACCAGTCGCTAATCAGTTGTTATCTATTGTAGGCAGTCGCTTATAATGTATTTAAATGTAATGGTTAACCAATCAGATCCGTCATATATTTCGATTCTTTTTGGAATAAAATTAAATACACTTTTAAGCGCTATATAGGAAATTTATATATATATATTATCCCTTGTCCAATCGAATAGAATCGAATCTATGTAAAATGTTTGCAATTAAAGGATGAAAAAATCTA